TGGGAAGATCTCTGGACTGGAATTCATGGCCTAATTCAAGACAGAGCAATCAGAAATAGGCCAAAATGCAGAGAAACCTGAAAAACGGCTGCCTGCTGTGTTTAAGTAGCTGAAAAAAGCAAAATTTAAGTGAGACAGAAGAAAATTTTCACAGTTCAGTGCTGAGTGGCAGAGAAGAGGCAAGAAAGTGTAACTGGTGCAAAGAACTTGAGAACAACCCAATTGGCAGGACAATTTAAGATAATTACAAAAAATTAAGGATATCTTTCAGACGAGAATGGGCACTACAAAGGACTAATATAGAGTTATATAGGATACTAAAGATCATCTAGTCCAACGTCCCCACTCAGTGCAGGATCCCCCAAAGCATCTTTAGCATCCGAGGGTGGTGGAAGAGCTCCAGCGAAGGGGAGCCCCCCCCCCCAAGGAGGGGAGCGATTCTTCCTCCAGTCTTCCCGTTCTGATAGTCGGAGGAGCTGCGTCAGAAACACGGATTCTGCATTTTGCCTCTGTGGAAAAAGCAAGGCCCCTTTCAGCCCTGCCGCCCTTCCGCCTCACGCCTCTCCCTCTCCCTGGCCGGCCATCGGAGGGTGGCTCACAGAGGGGTAAAAGCATCAAATGAAAAAGTGGCAGTCAGTAGAAATGCCACATGGGGGGGGGGTAAATAAACTTGAATTAGAGACGTGGCCCCGTGCCTGAGGGAGGAACCAGATCTACCAGGCCCTCATCAAGCGGGAGCCAAGAGTTTAGGAGGGTCCCCCAATCTCTCCACCTGGGGAAGGGCAGCCCCATCCAGAACTAACCATGGAAAACCTCTGCAGCCAGGTGGCTCCCAAACCTCCCCCGTCTGGCGTGGCTCAGTTTGAGTCCAGTCACACAGTTGGCTGTTCTGGCTGCTTTCGTCTGGGCTGCCCTTTACATGGGTCTTAACTGTTTTTATTATTTTGGGGATGTTGCAAGCCCCCCCCCCCCGCAGTCCTTATGGGCAGCCATAATGAACGGAACTGAATTTTTCCTCCCCATCCAGAGCCCCCAGCAGCTTCCAGGCACTGTGATAGGACCTCGAGAGCCCCGCTTGTTTATTCTCAGCTGGAAGCATACGTACAGCGGGGAAACCCTTGAATGACTTCCCCCAGCAGCCTTCCTGTAGAGGTTGAATAGGAACAGGAAGACTTTTGAACCCCGAGCCACTCCTGAAAGTGCTAGCTAACCACAACAAGCAACACACACAAACACAAAAAGCAAGGAACAAGCAAACTTGCTAGGAGAAATGACTAGAAAAGGGTGGAGTTTGAAAGAAAAAAGGTCACTGTTCACATCTAGGAGGGTAGTAAAGAACCGATGAGAGGGGCGGGCGGGGGGATGAGGAGCCACGTCCCAAAGTTTAAGCAGGGAGGGGCATCCAGGACCAAAAGGAAGATCAATCGGTGCCTTGGGCAAAGCAGCCCCTTGGGTCCTTCCCCTCGGTCCACAGCGGCCCCTCTCCCCCCCCATCCCAAATGCCCGCCCTCTTTCATTCATTCATTCGCCCCATCCTCTCCCGCCTCCTGCTTCACGCCTGGTCTACAAGGAGACCACAAGGGCTCTCTTCACCCGTACTCCTGGCCTTTTCCTTTCCACCCAGTTCTTGGCGTTGCCTGGGAGGACCCTGACAAACGGGAGCGTCCAGGGAAATAAATGGCCCGAGTGGAAAAATGTGAGCGGAGCCAGTGGAGGCGGCACTGGGATATTCAGAACAGGAGAGCCCAGGAAGAGGGGATTGCCGGCATGCAGAAGATGGGCCAGGGTTGTTCCAAAAATGCTGATTTAAATTTCAAGGAAGCTGACTTTGCTCATAATAAGTAGAATAATGAAGCAGGTTGTTCCACTGGTTAATTGTTCTAACTGTCCGGAAGTTTCTCATTAGTTCTAGGTTGCTTCTCTCCTTGATCAGTTTCCATCCGTTGCTTCTTGTCCTGCCTTCAGGCGCTTTGGAGAAGAGCTTGACTCCCTCTTCTTTGGGGCAGCCCCTGAGATATTGGAACACTGCTATCATGTCCCCCCTCGTCCTTCTCTTCATTAAACTGGACATCCCCAATTCCAGCAACTGTTCCTTGTATGTTTTATCCTCCAGTCCCCTAATCATCTTTGTTGCTCTTCTCTGCCCTCTTTCTAGAGTCTCAACATCTTTTTTACATTGTGGTGACCAAAACTGGATGCGGGATTCCAAGTGTGGCCTTACCAAGGCCTTGTAAAGTGGAATTAACACTTCACGTGATCTTAATTCTCTCCCTCTGTTAATGCAGCCCAGCACTGTGTTGGCCTTTTTGGCAGCTGCAGCACACGGCTGGCTCCTATTTAAGTGATTGTCCCTCTCACAGTTACTACTATTGAGCAAGGTACCCCCTATACTATACCTGTGCATTTGGTTTTTCTTGCCTAAATGCAGAACCTTTACTTTTTTCACCACTGAATTTCATTGTGTTAGATAGCGCCCAGTGTTCAAGTCTGTCCAGATCCTCCTGTATCCTAAGCCTGTCTTCTGGAGTGTTGGCTATTCCTGCCAGCTTAGTGTCGTCTGCAAATTTGATGAGTTCCCCATCTATCCCCTCGTCCAGATCGTTGATGAAGGTGTTGAAGAGCACTGGGCCCAGAACAGAGCCCTGGGGCACCCCACTACACACTTCCCTCCATGTAAATGTGGTTCCATTGAGGACCACACGCTGAGTACGGCCGGTCAGCCAGCTACGGATCCATCTGGTGGTGATACTGTCTAAGGATCACCCCACATTTTGTTTGTGTAGATTGCTGACATCCAGCCACACTATTTTCACACTATTGT